GGAGTGTTGTCTTCACCATCTGTAAATATTGTACAATAATCGCTTTATATGTATAATCAGTTAACTAATAAACCAAAGTATGCAACACCTTTGCACTGTAACACCGTTACAATCAAATACAAATGATACCACCATAATGCAACACCGTTGCACTGTAACATTGATACAATAAAATATATATATGATACTATTATAATGCAACACCGTTGCACTGTAACACCGTTACAATCAAATATAAATGATACCACCATAATGCAACACCGTTGCACTGTAACATTATTACAATCAAATATATATATGATACCACCATAATGCAACACCGTAACATTCACCTATAAATGATATCACCATAATGCAACACCGTTGCACTGTAACACCGTTACAATTAAATATAAATGATACCACCATAATGCAACACCGTTGCACTGTAACATTGTTACAATCAAATATATATATGATACCACTATAATGCAACACCGTAACATTCACCTATGAATGATACCACCATAATGCAACACCGTTGCACTGTCACACTGTTACAATCAAATATAAACGATACCACCATAATAAACACCGTTACATTCACATATACATGATACCACTATAATGAAACACCGTTACATTCACATATACATGATACCACCGTAATGAAACACCGTTACAAACACATATACATGATACCACTATAATGAAACACCGTTACATTCACCTATAAATGATACCACTATAATGAAATACCGTTACAGTCACATATACATGATACCACTATAATGAAACACCGTTACATTCACATAAACATGATATACCACTATAATGAAACATCCGTTACAATCACATATACATGATACCACTATAATGAAACATCCTTTACAATCACATATACATGATATACCCCTATAATGAAACACCGTGACATTCACATATACAGGATAGCACTATAATGAAACACCGTCACATTCACATAAACATGATATACCGCTATAATGAAACATCAGTTACAATCACATATACATGATAGCACTATAATGAAACATCAGTTACAATCACATATACATGATCCCACTATAATGAAACCCCGTTACATTCACATAAACACGATATACCACTATAATAAAGGACCGGTACATTCACATATACATGCTACCACTATAATAAAGGACCGGTACATTCACATATACATAATATACCACTATAATGAAATACCGTTACATTCACATACACATGATACCACTATAATGAGACACCGTTACATTCATATAAACATGATATACCACTACAATGAAACATCCGTTACAATCACCTATACATTATTCCCCTATAATGAAACACCGTCACATTCACATAAACACGATATACCACTATAATGAGACACCGTTACATTCACATACACATGATACCACTATAATCAAACAACGTTACATTCACATACACATGATACCACTATAATCAAACAACGTTACATTCACATAAACACGATATACCACTATAATGAATCACCGTTACATTCACCTATACATGATACCACCGTAATGAAACACCGTTACAATCACATATACATGATAGCACTATAATGAAACACCGGTACATTCACATATACATGACACCACTATAATGAAACCCCGTTACATTCACATAAACATGATACCACCGTAATGAAACACCGTTACAATCACATATACATGATAGCACTATAATGAAACTCCGTTACATTCACATAAACACGATATACCACTATAATAAAGGACCGGTACATTCACATATACATGATACCACTATAATGCAACACCGTTGCACTGTAACACTGTGACAATCAAATATAAATTATACCATCATAATGCAACACCGTTGCACTGTACCACAGTTACAACCAAATATAAATGATATCACCATAATGTAACACTGTTGCACTGTAACACTGTTACAACCAAATATAAATTATACCACCATAATGCAAACTGACGTTCACCTATAAATGATACCACCATAATGCAGACTGACGTTCACCTATAAATGATACCACCATAATGCAACACCGTTGCACTGTAACACAGTTACAATCAAATATAAATGATACCACAATAATGCAACATTGTTGCCCTGTTAAAGCGTTACAACCAAATATAAATGATCATGATACCACCATAATGCAACACTGTTACAATCAAATATAAATGATACCACTATAATGCAACACTGGTACATTCACCTATGAATGATACCACCATAATAAACACCGTTACATTCACATATACATGATACCACTATAATGCAACACCGTTACATTCACATAAACATGATACCACTATAATGAAACACCGTTACATTCACATATACATGATACTACTATAATGAAATACCGTTACATTCACATATACACGATACCATCATAATGAAACACCGTTACATTCACATAAACATGATACCACTATAATGAAACACCGTTACAATCACATATACATGATACCACTATTATGAAACACCGTTACATTCACATATACATGATACCACTATAATGAAACACCGTTACATTAACATATACATAATACCACTATAATGAAACACCATTACAATCAAATATAAATGATACCGCCATAATGCAACACCCTTACATTCACATATAAATGATATCACCATAATGTAACACTGTTGCACTGTAACACTGTTACAACCAAATATAAATGATACCACCATAATGCAACACCGTTGCACTGTAACACTGTGACAATTAAATATAAATTATACCATCATAATGCAACACCGTTGCACTGTACCACCGTTACAACCAAATATAAATGATACCACCATAATGCAACACCATTGCACTGAAACACTTTTATACAATCAAATATAAATGATACCGCCATAATGCAACACCCTTACATTCACATATAAATGATATCACCATAATGTAACACTGTTGCACTGTAACACTGTTACAACCAAATATAAATGATACCACCATAATGCAAACTGACGTTCACCTATAAATGATACCACCATAATGCAACACCAAATACAAATGATACCACCATAATGCAACACCAAATATAAAAAATACCATCATAATACAACACCGTTGCACTGTAATTAACACAGTTACAATCAAATATAAATGATACCACCATAATGCAACATTGTTGCCCTGTTAAAGCGTTACAATCAAATATAAATGATCATGATACCACCATAATGCAACACTGTTACAATCAAATATAAATGATAGCACCATAATGCAACACCATTGCACTGTAACACTGTTACAATCAAATATAAATGATACCACCATAATGCAATACTGTAACATAGCTGCAGTAACACCATTACAATCCAATATAATTGAGATATGCAACACATTTACCTTCAAATATTAATGATACCACTATAATGCAAAACCGTTGCACTGTAACACTGTTACCATCCAATATAAATGATATATTCAACACAGTTAAATTCAAATATAAATGATACCACCATAATGCAACACACTGTAGCACTGCTACACCATTACAATCCAATATAAATGAAATATGCAACACCGTTACATTCAAATATAAATTATACCATGGCCACCATATATAATGCAAAACTGTACCCCTATTACCGTTACAGGGAAATATCCAGTTATAATTATGCAACATTGCTGCTATGTAACACCGTTACAATAATATCTAAATAATATAAATCTTTATAATTATTTGACATAGCTAGGTTTCTGATATGTCAAATTGTAACCATATGTTCCCCATTACCGTCGATTCCATAATTCAAATGTGCATACAAGCAGTATCAAAGTAATGATTATGGTGCAATTGATTGAATGACCCACTTTAAGCATGGAGCTGATTCATTGCAGATATCAATGTACCCCTCAAGTTATTATAGTATTTACGGTTTCATTCCGCGTTGAGGTGTACCCCATCCTTGTCATACACACGCTGTTTGCTTTCTGCTGACCAAAATCCTGTCATTCGGAAAAACTTCATCCCGTCCTTTCCCGGGACCTGTGAAACACCTGCATGACGATCACACGACGCACTAGGTATTTGTAACGAAGTGTCACAACTGGTTCCACTAGCTGCCGAAATATGACCTCGACCGATATTTCCTGGCCACACAGATCGTTTGACGCTGTCTGTAAGATTACTATAACTGGGTCATTAATTGTCTTGCACTAACGGTTACGCCCTGGTTTGAATCCTTCACCTTCACATATCACTCGTACCTCCGTTCGACATAAATTGAAATTTCCGTTCAGCGTAATATCTATCGAACTGTTCATAAAGGATTTAATCCGTCTAACGAAAGAAAGACCAAGCAGCATAGCAGTAATCGTCATCTTTCACAAGTCATACCCACATGCGTTTGTTTACAAACAATACAAATTGGCGGGCTAAGCGTCCCCGATGTTTCCACAGGAAATGTTGAAATTGACATTACTTACGGCGAAAGCCGAGGGAGGATCCCCCTGCCATTAGCTAACCTCGCCTCTTATGCGTGAACCCCTTCTGTAGCAGATGCTCAGCACTCTTCCAAGTAGAGAAATAGCTGATTTTTAAGGAGAATTTTCAAAATCTCAGCATGGAAAAATATTCTGCACAGGTCACGTGACTTTAGTACACCAAAACATCACGTGACTACTTCTAAAGGGATGGACTAGTTTCAAAAACGGAAGTTATCCTCCATCCGGAACCCACAAAATATAACAAATAAAAATATCATATACTAACCAGATAATATAAATTGCTTTATGCATTGCATAAATACAATTATAGTAATTTTTTTTGGGGGGGCATTAATATCATCATGACTTACAAAAATGGTTCTGTATAGGTTTCCTTTTCTTGATGATAGTTTTTTTGTTGATGATGTAGTATAATTATTTAATTGAGAAATCAGGTTAGCACAAAATTGTTTTCTTTGATATACATATCTTTGTATAGATCACTTCTTTGTTGATTTCAGATCTGTATCGTCAGAGGGGAGGTACTGGTACCCTACAAAGGGAACAACTATGTGGAATGTCCGTCGGGTTCCTACCAAGTCGAATTTTCCTCCAATTGCACTGACAACTGCCCTCCTAATGCACCGTATATAGTGTCCGATTGATGTTTGGACTACTGTCCTGTGGGTTTAAATAACACGTGTAATAGGAAAGATGCTATCCCACAAACAACTGCAACAATACCTGATAAAACAGCAGTCTTGCGATGCCCAAAAGGATTATGTCCGAAGGAGAGACCGTTTTGTTTTGACTATCATTGTTTGTCAGATTGTCCACATGAAATGGTTAGGGAGGACTTTTCATGCGTCTATCATTGTTTTAATGCGACATCGATGGTGTACAACAAATCATGTGTGACCGAATGTCCCCGAGACTCTCCCTTCAATGAATCGGGTATTTGTGTTTCAAAATGTTCAACTTATAATATACTTTATGGTAGCGTTTGTATCCGTGACTGCCCAGTCAACATGTTTCGGTATAATAAGACGTGTACAACATCATGTCCAAAACTAGCGCCTTTCGATTTCGAGGCTTTAAATACAAAATTTTGCTTGGAATCTTGTCCGGACTTCACTTTAGTTCATCGACATGTGTGTAAGCTACAGTGTCCGGATGGATTCTTTCTTTGGAACAGAACGTGTGTTAGAACGTGTCCAGACTCTGCCCCAATTATCTATGTATTGAACAAAAGAGTCCCACAATTTAAAATTCCGATTTGTATTACAAACTGCCCCGATGACACGTTTTCGGACGGTATTTCGTGTGTAAAAACCTGCGACAAGAATATGTATGTGTTTAATTCAACCTGTGTTGACCGCTGTCCTACCAGCCACAGACTGTTGGAGGGCAGTACATCACCATATTCCTGCGTCTCACAATGTCGAATCGCGGAAAATTTGAACGACAATCGTTGCACTGCGGAGTGTCCAGACGACAAATTAGTTTTTGATAGAACATGTGTCTCTGAATGTCCCATATCTAATCCGTTGGTATTAAATCAGGAATGTCTCTCTCAATGTCCCATATATTTATTGAATGAATCTGGGACATGTGTTTCACGCTGCAGTAAGGGACATTACATGTTCAATAGGTATTGTGTAAAGAGATGCCCAGAAACACACAGATATATGGCTTACGGGAAATGCAATACTAATTGTTCAATTTACAATTTACTGATTTGGAATAATTCATGTTTCTCTTCCTGTCCTAAACAGGCAATGTACACCTTCAATCAAACATGCTTAACGGTTTGTCCACTCTCCCATCCTTTTGATAAAAGCGGACGAACATCAAGATATTCCTATCAAGTGATACACTACTGTGTTGCGTCCTGTAGTGATAACATTAGTCCTGCGATTTTTATATATGGTGGTAAATGCAAATGTTCAGCACACTTACTCTCTCATAATTTTACATGTGTTGAAAACTGCCCTTCGCCATATAACTTGGTTCATAACGGAGAGTGTCTTACACAGTGCCCTAATCACTTCGTAGGTTACAATAACACATGTCAAGCCTCGTGTCCGGAACATGCTAAATATGTATACGATGGTTTGTGTAGAGAGGCGTGTCCATCGTCACATCCGTATTATGCAGCGGCATTATCGTATCCAAATTCATTAACTTGTCTCGAATCATGCACTGATAGCAACAAAAGTCCGGGAAGGTTTTTATATAACATGACATGTGTAAAACGGTGTCCTAATGCAACTGTTTTATATGGATCAAATTGCATCCAAAAATGTCCCTTAGATAACTCCCTGATATATAAAAAGGAGGACAACGGAAACTATATAATAGTGTGTGTAGATAAGTGCCCAGTGACAACCTTCACAAGAGGAAAGAATTGTTATGACCAGTGTCCAGAACCCTTAGCTTCCTATTTGCCGAACCGCACGTGTTTAGAGCAATGTCCTAAACATAGAAGATTTCGTTATCGATTTAGAACGAACGTTAATACTTTTACTTACAGATGCAAGTCATCATGTGACAAAATTATTTTCGATAGCACTAGTTGTGTGGATGTTTGTCCCCCCGACACCCCGTTTGAATTTGGTCAAACTTGTGTTCGTAAATGTCCAGCAACACACATGTTCCACGAACAACAGAAATACAGATGCTTGGCAGAATGCAAACCCCCTCTGGTTGAAGTCAATCACACATGTTTCAGATCTTGCCCTGCAAGTATTCCCTTTTTAATGAACAATACTTGTGTTGAAAAATGTCCAAAACCGTTCAATATGACATCACCTTCCTTTCAAGGTCCTACATGTGTACGTAAATGTTTACATCCGTTGCTCCGAGAAAACAACAAATGCACACAGGCCTGTACTGGCAAGTTTATTGTCAACAATGTATGTGAAGACATTATCGGATGTCCGAATGAATACAGATATATAGAGAAGTCTTCACGCGGAACAATTTGTCGAAAAGTCTGTCAGGAAAACGAGTTCGTTTTCGAAGATGTACAATGCACAAAGAAGTGTCCGAAGTTCGATGTAGAAAACCAGTGTGTCGAGAGTTGCCCAGATACACATCCCTACACAGTAAAGCTTATATATTCATTTAAAAGGGACTCCACGTGTTATTCAACCTGTCCAAAGCTTACATATGACAACTCTTGTGTTAACTCATGTCCCCCTTCCTATCTTGTGTTCAAATCTAAAAAAACGTGTGTCAAGGAATGTCCAGCATCAGATCCCATTAAATCAAACGGCGAATGTCTGAAAACGTGTCCGGGGTCAAAGATTGCTTCGGAGAAAAATACATGCATAGACAAATTCGAATGTGATAGTTCTAAAGGATTACATGTCTACGACTCAAAATGTGTCACACAATGCCCCAGTGGAACGTATCGTAACTATCAAGATAACACCTGTAGTCCGATGTCACTTGGTTATATTCTTCTCATTACTGTGCTGGCTGTAATCGGTATAACCTGCCTCTTTGGAGCATATTTGGTGTTCAGAAGGAACAGTTTTTATAGGCAGAAACTTATAGTAAGTATACGACATTTAAAGTCTTTTTGGTTTTGCCAAGAAATATATAACAAGTCTGAAAGATTAACTTTTAACATATAATATGTATTAATAACAATCATTGTATAATATCATATTAGTGTAATATAATAACTAATAGTGAAAATAGAATTGATGTATTTAAAATGAAAAGTAGCACCTTTTCTTAACTGGCTTATTCTTGCTAAATGAACTAATCTGATATTAGTATTTACTATGAAAATTAGCAAAACATCACGATGCTTCCTTTCGTTAGGATCACAATTTATAAATATAGTAACACAGCTATATGTTGTAAATGTGTTAGTATACAAAGTCATGAATATTGTCATCATATTGATTATATGTTACCCCGTTTAAACTCATAAGATATACGTATAGCGTATGAGTCGCCACAAATATTAAAATTGTTTTACCAACACCACACACCGAGATTATTAGGACTTTATTTTAGGTACTTTGTAGTCTTTGGGTAATCAGCTTTAAAAGTAGCTATCAACTAACTGTATTCATCATAATGCTTGTATGCGTAACATGATATATGATGTGGCGTATGCTAAACTAACGTGATTGGTTAAAGGAACAGAATCGATATATTTCTATAAAAGACAAATTCATCGTAAAGTCATCAGCCCTTTTCGTTAAAAAAAGAGACAAAATTATAAATAATAATTTGAGGTGAGGTAGTACCTATTTAAACATTTAGTAATTCACTGCAGAAAGTCAAACAAAGGAAACATTTTAACGGGACAATATTTCCGTCCTTCTATAGACTCAGTGTTAATTCTAAAGGTAAACATATTGAAAAGCATGGCTGAATTATTTCGAAATATATGTAAAAGTGACAAAACGGACAAAGTGCCTTTAAAAACCTCTCAGCGTTATAAGCATTTGCCTGCAACAGAAGATTTTATTCTTTGAAGCAGTGTTAACCGTTCAAGAATGAAATATTTGCTTTGTTTGCCTTTCTACATCCTAAAACTATATGTATTTGGACCTACACTAACGTGTTCAGAGTAATTCTACACGTTTTAGAGCTTTATATCAACTTTCGGTAAAGATTCGTAAATCTATATAAGATTTTCCGGCATACCTTCAGCACTCGCACATTGCTTTTTCATTTTTACGTCTGCTTCAAACAGACTACACTCTACAGGTTTATTGATATATTTCACTTGATTTCAAAAGACAATCCTATAGTTTTGTTTTATATTATTACGTTATATATAACATGTGTGCATTTTACTGTAGAGGAGGCGTGTGCTTTTTTATCCATGTTCGATTCTGGTCAATCTTGAAATCAAACTTTTAGTTTCTATAAATATATTTACAAATTTCCCTGTCATTTGTGAATCCTCGAGTGAGTGAATAGCGCCAACTTTAAGTCACGATATATTCCGAAAAGCACAGCCATTTCATCACTGAAATATTCAGCCAATTACTCCACATGTGTAGGCACGGGGCTGACGTCAACCTTATTAATATGGAAAAAGGTATCTCTGACTTAAAAATAATTGAAACTTGAAAAAGAGTGTGTTTATTTGGAAGAAACGGGAATCATGTCTGCGGAATGTACATTTTGGGTAAATATAGGAGGTTTGTTAAAGACACATTATCAATCTTCCCAACGGTACCATGCACGTTTTTGTACAACAATGAGAAATTGTGATTTGGCTGCGAGAAAGTTAGGTGGGATTTTTCGACATCGAGAGCCATCCTCCTCTTCTCGTATATATCATCAATGGGAGGTGGCATTGTTAATCTAAACTTCTAAAACGTGTAGTATTACCCTTAACACTATAGTTTAGGTCAAATAAGGTTGTAGCAAATTATAAAGTCCATGTGATCACAAATGGTTATATGTAAGAGTCTCTTTATAACAATAAATTACATCTGTTCCAGAGTAACAATGTTGAACAAGCAGAAACAGATGACGGATGTCTTACTTTGGAGATAGACGCTACAGACGATGCAGTAGGGCACGAATGCGATGCTTCGGCTTTAGAAATGTATAACAATTCTCCAGGGTACCGACAAAATACTCCGACAATACAAACAATGGATGATTCCTCAAGGTACAATGACGATACACAGCCAAGAGGTGCTGTGGACGATTCGTCAAGGTACAAACAGAATACACAGCCAGACGGGACTTTGGACGATTCGTCAAGGTCCAAACAGGATAAGCCGCCAATGGAGATTGTGGACGTTTCGCCAAGATACAAACACGATACACCGTAAATAGAGATTGAGGACGATCCGTCAAGGTACAAAAACGATACACAGCAAATAGCGATTGTGGACTATTCGTCAAGTTACAAACAGGATACACAGCCGCATCTTGCTGAGGACGATTCGTCAATTTACAAACACGATATACAGCAAATAAAGTATATAAACGATCCGTCAAGGTACATACACGATACACCGCCTAAAGAGATTATGGACGATTCGTCAAGGTACAAACACTATACCAAGCCAATAGATACTGTGAGCGATTTGTAATGGTACAAACACGACACACCGCCAATAGGGACTGTGAACGATTCGTCAAGGTACAAATACGATAAACCGCCAATACGAAACACCGCCAAAATGTGCTGTGGATGATTCGTCAAGGTACATACACGATACACCGCCAAAATGTGCTGTGGACGATTCGTCAAGGTGCAAACACGATACACCGCCTAAAGAGATTATGGACGATTCGTCAAGGTACAAACACTATACCAAGCCAATAGATACTGTGAGCGATTTGTAATGGTACAAACACGACACACCGCCAATAGGGACTGTGAACGATTCGTCAAGGTACAAATACGATAAACCGCCAATACGAAACACCGCCAAAATGTGCTGTGGACGATATGTCAAGGTACAAACACGATACATCGTCAAAATGTGCTGTGGACGATATGTCAAGGTACAAATACAATACACCAGATTGTGGTTGATTCGTCAAAGTAAAAAGCATTTTATGATTGTGACTATCGTATTTAATTCATTTTTGCTGTAAACGGTTTGAGTATAGCTGTAAATATCGTATTTAATTCATTTTTGCTTTAAATTGTTTGAATCTAACTGTGACTATCGTATTTAATTATTTTTTGCTGTAAATTGTTTGAATCTAGCTATGACTATCGTATTTAATTCATTTTTGCTGTAAACGGTTTGAATATAGCTGTAAATATCGTATTTAATTCATTTTTGCTTTAGATTGTTTGAATCTAACTGTGACTATCGTATTTAATTATTTTTTACTGTAAATTGTTTGAATCTAGCTATGACTATCGTATTTAATTCATTTTTGCTGTAAATTGTTTGAATCTAGCTGTGTATATTGTATTTAATTCATTTTTGCTGTTAATTGTTTGAATATAACTGTGACTATCGTACTTGAGTCAATTTTGCTGTAATTTGTTTGTGTTACTATCGTATTTAATTCATTTTTGCTGTAAATTGTTTGAATCTAGCTGTGATTATCGTATTTAATTCATTTTTGCTGTAAACGGTTTGAATATAGCTGTTAATATCGTATTTAATTCATTTTTGCTTTAAATTGTTTGAATCTAACTGTGACTGTCGTATTCAATTATTTTTTGCTGTAAATTGTTTGAATATAATTGTTACTATCGTATTTAATTCATTTTTGCTGTAAATTGTTTGAATCTAGCTGTGATTATCGTATTTAATTCATTTTTGCTGTAAACGGTTTGAATCTAGCTGTGACTATCGTATTTAATTCATTTTTGCTGTAAATTGTTTGAATCTAGCTGTGTATATTGTATTTAATTCAATTTTGCTGTTAATTGTTTGAATATAACTGTGACTATCGTATTTGAGTCAATTTTGCTGTAATTTGTTTGTGTTACTATCGTATTTAATTCATTTTTGCTGTAAATTGTTTGAATCTAGCTGTGATTATCGTATTTAATTCATTTTTGCTGTAAAGTGTGTGAATCTAGCTGTGTCTATCGTATTTAATTCATTTTTGCTGTAAATGAATCTAGCACCTTTGTGTCTTACCCTCGGCTTAGACAACCAAAAAACCTCACCTTCCGGTTGGAGATTTCTCTGTCACACCCTCAAGGTAGGGGAAGATTCTATTAATATACCTCGCCCTTTAGGACTCATTTTAATTCCTTACCACATGACGATTTTACGCTTCATTTTACACATTTGTCATAATATAAGCTGCTGTTGACAGAGGTTATAAGAGCACAGCGGGAAAAGTATAAGGCGTAGTCAACAAACTACAAGATTAAACTTGTAATCTATAGGAAAAAACCTCGAGACGACGTCGTCTTTGCCCGTCTCCACAGCGTCATTCGCACATTTGACGGTATGTTTTTATTGAATTGCGAAGACCAGCCACAATGCATAGAATGTTAAAACCCATTTACTGTGTAGTAGTTGATATTACATTGTATTGACCTAAGTAACCACTGGTTAACTTCTATAATAATATAAGATTCAAATTTCTCTTGTAATTATTTAATTTTAAATCTCTTCTAGAAATTGTAAATATTTTCACAATTCGATTCTACAGGAGGAGTGTTGGTGTATTCCAATTTATAAATAACCATGGCCACTTCACATAATTCAAAGAAGCTATTTCCTTAAAGGTGTAACCTTATTTCGTATTTCTAGTCATTAGTCTTTCTCTGTACGTCATTACGAAGTATTTATGTATGAAATATGATCATCTTAAAAATAATATGAAAAAAACACCTAATCATTTATAGTTATGCTCGCCTGATTTTTCGTTTGGTCCTGACACCAGACATTCTGACAGATAGATGTCTGGTGTTGGATAAGAGCGCACTTCTATACGAAGAAGTGGAATTCACCAACACCGTTAGGTATCGTAGAGTTTTGAAGTGCTGACAACAAAAGTCTACTTTGACACAACACATACCTCACATATATCAATAAAAGGGTTCTGTATTGACCAAACTCCGCCATTATTATCACCAATAGCTGTTACATTCCGTCAGTTGAGTCCTCGATTTTCAATCATTCAAAATCTCCCACCTGAGCGATGCCATTTTGTAGGTCATGAGAGTGACTTATCAACAAACCGCACTGATCCGGACCGAAAACGGAAAATTCTTGTTTAGAAGATGTACGGATCGCCTCTTTTTGTTGATTAGTCTTTAGTATGCGTGAAATATATGGATACTCCCACAACACGGCTTTGGAACCAACTTCTCAATCTTTAGCAGGCAGCGGTTTATAAGCCATACAGACGTTTTCCCTTTTTCGTCAGTATTTGGATACAAAATTGGTCAGTTTCAGGGCGGATTTGGTTGAGGAGCCTCATCCCAAATAGGCGCGGTCCGACAATTAAAGATAAAGGTGGATAAACAGGACCTGGGCAGATGTACTGATTTGGTGTCGGCAACACCGCTGAAAATGCACAAGAGTAAGTAACTTATTCGCTTAGCGGACATTTCTACGGCCGGCTTGACCACCGCCAAGGAGTATGTTTTGGACGACTTTGCTTCATTCTCCGAGGATGAAAAACGTATTCTCTAGGCAGAGAACGGGATTGAACGAAGCATTAAACGAAAGAATGATACTCGTAAGCGTAGCTATAATAATGGCGACAACGCTTCCCGTGTGCATCGTTCCCAGTGAGCCAATCAGAATCGGGCAGCGGCAGCTTCCGGATTCAGCAGTACACATATAAACCTAAGAGAGATTCCCCTTCAGACCAGTGTTTCTCGTGTGGAGGGTTAGTAAATCAGCGGGGAGACTGGCAAGTGGGTAGGGCGCCACCCGGCAGCTGCAGCAGTCGGAAGGAGGACATTAGAGCAACAGCGACCTACATGTACACGTACTACTCGTATGACATTGGCGAACTTTGGTCACACAAACAGTGTTTTGAGTATCAGGACAAAAAACATGTTATATCTTTTTTGGTTAGGCTAAAACACCACATTCAATGTTTGAAAGACATAGAAGCGCCCGCGTTTATTGTCAGTACTACAGAGCACGGCTATGGCATACCTTTCCGAGTACGTATAAAATATCCGATATTTTGATAAAGTGTTTGTTATACATTATCAATTATTTTTGAAATTCCTTTTAATGGAAACTAGAGGTAACACTATTTCGTATTCGTCAAATAAAAAGAAACAACAACATCAAAGAGAAGTAAGTATTATGGAAAAAATAAGGGATCTTGAAAACCATAGTGATGTAAATATAGAGGAACTACAGGTAAGGAAAAAAGAATTAGAGTATATAAGAATGCATAACATTTAGGGAAGTATTATTAACTCAAAGGCTATGTGGATAAAGGAGGGAGAAAAACCTACAAATTATGTTTTTAATCTAGAAAATTTAATCATCTTTGTATATTATTTGTCAAAATTTGAAGTCACAGACTATTATCTCCTATTGAAAGAATTAGTATGATTAAATCATTGCTGACGTCCCAATTCAATCATCTGTTCATATCATTGCCTAATCCGGATAAGTATTTTATTAAACAACTAAATTAAGTTCTTTGTAACTTTTTGTGGAATGGTAAAACTGACAGAATTAAGAGGGAGGTCATTGTGCAAAGTTATACTGAAGGTGGTCTTAAATGATCCATGTAAAATCGTTTATTGAACAACTGAAAACTGGTTGGATAAGAAAGATATTCATAGCATCATGGAAATGATTTTTTTATTAGAAAAAAGCAGATGTTAAGGTTTTATTAAATTGTGGGAATGCAGTGTACGTATAGCCAAAACTAAAACAATTTTTATGTGTTAACTTGGTATAAACTCAGAGAAAAAGAAGAATCAATTAGAGATAATGACGATTTAATACTCAACGATGTTTATTTTTTATTTTTATCATACTGATCAATATACTAAAAGATAGAAGAAGTTTATGATTTTACAATTTTGCCGAATTCTGTGATATATTTGGTCCAATGGCAACCTACTTACAGGATCATGGGGTGATATTGAGTCTTAAGAAATACTTCAGACGTTTAACTCTCAACACAAGAGATTGATATTCCCAACTTTCCACCTCGATCCATAATTGATTTTGAAGCGTATTAAGGGATCACAAGATTTGTATCTCTTACTTATAAAAATATGGAAACTGGTCAACAAAAACGGGGAATTAATTGTGATTACATTGTATAATACAGATACATGGGATAACATTTTCAATGTTCCGTTTCAAGTTTCAAAAAACTCTAAATTACAATGGCAACAATTTAGAATCAATCATTTACTATCAACAATTAATTATTATGAATATAGAATAGGACAGACAATCCTAACTGTAGCTTCTGCCTTAAGGAAAGGGAGACAAGTGCCGATATGGGAACGTAACGATAGAAGTCATTAATTAAAAATAAAAATAAAACAAACACTGATTATGATTTTTTTTATTCATTCTGAAAACATGAATAGGACAAAACTACATTGTGTTGAGCTAAATGTCATTCTTAACATCTACCTCCAATAATGGTCTAGTATGACTCAAACTAACGTATCACAACAGGTATGTATGCAATATTTACATAACAACGGTGACCAGAACCCTCTGCAGCAATATATAAATTATGCCAGATGTGGTCCCACTTCGTTAAGTATTCAATTATCACGGTGGCATGATGTATTATATATATATATATTGTATAAAGAAAAATTCTTAACAACGAGTGTTTAGTATTTTCATCTCTTCTAGGAGATTTTTCAGACTGTTTATTAGAAGTATTGATGTCACATAATGGTTCGCTATAACGACGTCCGCCATATACGTACCCGCCATAACGACATCACAGCAATATAAATATATTAATTATAGTCTTAAGGCAAAGAGTTCTATTTGTTTAAGATTAAGATATACTAGTAATACTAATATTATTGAAGTCCAGAATATTCTAGCTAGTTTTGAAATGGTGCTTAATACTCTTACAGCACCCTTTCCAGTTAATGAAGAAACTTTGATCTTCTGTTTCTTAAATAAAACGTTTGTTTATAACCGAATAGATAACGAAATATTCCTGTTGATGAAATCATATATATATAGAACAAGGTGTTATTTTAGTACAACTTTTGTGATGGCTCTAGTGTATTTGATAAAGGAAAAGTAGGTTGTTTAAAAGTATATTGCATATGGTAAATGTTAATTCTGGTTAATCTAATTGTAAATGATTGAAAAAATGGATAAAACTGATTAAAATTGCCTGCAACCTGTCATAAGCTGATTTACCATAACATTAAGTTGTACTTAGTAATCTATATGACAAAACAATTAAACGAAAATTTATGGGAGTTTATTTTTCTCCGACATTGCCATGGCGGCCCCAATTCTAAAGACTTCTAGCCAACTGTTAAACCTTTCTTATCTACAAAACTGACCTAGAAGCAGCCAAACTGCTATTCTGCAGGAAGACGACAATATCGTTATACATCAGACTGCTGTCAGTGAGGTTTTCAAAAATCCTTTTGTAATCGTGGTCATGGATATAGGCCAAAATAGTGAGTCTATATCAGACCTATCTACTCACGACAGTATAAAACCATTATTTTATTGTAACAGAATTGTATTTATCAATGTTACGGATATCACCGTTGT